AAAAATTAAAAAAAAAAAAGAATAGGTGGATGATCGAAATTTCATTCTTCTACGTTGATCTCATCTTCCTTTTACATAACCATCCCAACCTAACTCCCAAACATACTCAGAAGTATACACTAATATTTGATACCTTTTCTTGAGACCTCCATGCATCCTGTCTCTCTAACAGATGCTCCTTTCTCAGGGAGATCTTGTTCACATCAACTCTACTTCATCCTTTCTATGCAGCACTTAGAAAGCTGAAAACAGACAATGAAAAGAAGAATAAGTTTAAAACACAAATTTAAATTATGATAAGACAGAATATCACCAGTTTATACATTATCAGGAGCATCCTCTAGTTTTCAGCATTAAAAAATCAGATCATATCAAATATAACACTTTGAATGCTCTGTTAAGAACTCATTAATCCATTCCCAAAAAAGTATGACAAATAAAAAATATTTGAGGCCTTTAAATGAACACTTTTTTGACTAAAAAATCCTAGGCAGAGAGCCTCCTAATAGATAAGGGATTAAAGATGTCAATGTGAGAGGTGAGACAGAGACCTCCAACCAAAACCACATGTACTATGAAAATATAATTAATACAACTAATCCTGAAAGAGGGACAGGAAAGAGGGCTGCACCAAACTGCATACAACTGAAGAAAAGAACAGATCTCACGGAACAGGGTAATGCACCAAAGCCATGATCTGGCAGGACCCAGGCCCTTCCCTCACCATAACTCACTGGAAGGAGGAAGAGAAATGGAGCAGGGAGGGAGTGGAGGCCTGGGACTGCTGAACACCCAGCCCTGGAGATCTGCTCTGGGAGCATGAACCCACATAGCATGGTGCCCTGGTGATTAGTGGGGTTGGAAAGATAAGACAGGCGGAATACCTAGAGAGACTGAGATTCCAGCCACTTGTGGAAAACACAAATACACATCCACCTGCTCTGGGACAAAAGCAAGCTGGGCAGTCTGAGAGACTTGCTAACAGCAAGAGGGCTGCTGAAGGGGCAAGGATTGCACAGAGCTTACTGCTCAGGAGAAAGGACAGGTGGACAAAATTGTCTGGGCTCCCTCTGCCCAGCAGGTTGGGACCTTTCAGGAGCTTCAGGTGCCTCATCTCACTGGCTGACTATGCAGCTCCAAGGCCCCCCTCTGTGATACAGAGCCTGCTGTGCCTTCCTCCCAGGAAGCCCTCACCTGGCTCACAAACTGGCAGCCCCTGCCCTGGCATCAGGACAGCCAGACAGAAGCCTGACCTATGGTAGCTACAAACGCAAAGCATAGAGGCTTACACTTGTGTGTTCGGCCCACAGGTTCTGGCAGTGGAGACAGGCATAGCAGCCAGGAAGCAGGAAACACCTCTTTCCTCCCCCCAGGCACGAGCACCACTCCCTGTGGCCCCCAACATTGCTATAGGGCTGAGTAGCTCCAGAGAGTAGAGATTCTGGGCACTAGAGGGTGCCACATAAAAAAATGAAACGTCAAAGGAACCCAGTTGAAAGCAAAACCCCACAAACACCAGAAAAATATCAAGTGAAACTGAATTCATCAACTTTCCTGAAAGAGATATCAAAATGAAAATCATAAACATCCTCATGGAAGTAGAGAAAAATATTCAAGAACTCAGAAAAGAATTCAGGACAGAGATCCATTCATTATGGAATACAATGGAGAGTTTTTAAAGCAGATTTGATACAGTGGAGGAGATGATAAATGAAATAGAAATTAGAGAAGAATACAAAGAAGCTGAGGCACAGAGAGAAAAAGGATCTTTAGGAATGAAAGAATATTGAGAGAACTGTGTGACCAATCCAAATGGAACAATATTCGTATTATTGGGGTATCAGAAGAAGAAGAGAGGGAAAAAGGGATAGAAAGTGTCTTTGAGGAGGTAATTACTAAAAAATTCCCCAATCTGGGGAAGGAGATAGTCTCTCAAGCCATGGAGGTGCACAGGTCTCCCAAAACAAGGTACCTAAGGGAGAAAAACAAGACATATAATAATTAAAATGGCAAAGATCAAGGATAAGGACAGACTATTAAAAACAGTCAGAGAGAGAAAAAAGATCACATACAAAGGAAAGCCCATCAGACTTCTCAGCAGAAACCTTACAGGCCAGAAGGGAGTGGCAATGAAGCAGAAGTGCCTTGAATCAAGAATACTCCACCCTGGCAAAGTTATCATTTACACTTGAAGGAGGGGTTAAGCAATTTCCAGATAAACAAAAGCTGAGAGAATTCACCTCCCACGAACCATCTCCACAGTGTATTTTGAGTGACTGCTATAGATGGAAGTGTTCCTAAGGCTAAATAGCTACCACCAGAGGAAATAAAACCGCAGTAAAGAAAAAAGAACAATTACTAAGAAAACGTAAAATTAAATCAAATACCCACAAAGTCAGTCAAGGGATAGACAAAGAGTGCAGAATATCATACCTAATATATAAGGAATTGAGGAGGAAGAAAAAGGAGGAAAAAAAAGAACCTTTAGACTGTGTTTGTAACAGCATATTAAGTGAGTTAAGTTAGACTCTTAGATAGTAAGGAAATTACCCTTGAACCTTTGATAACCATGAATCTAAAGCCTGCAGTGGCAATAAGTACATATTTATTAATAATCACCCTAAATGTAAATGGTCTGAATGCACCAATCAAAAGACAGAGAGTCACTGAATGGATAAAAAAAACAAGACCTGTCTATATGCTGCCTACAAGCGACTCACTTCAAACCCAAAGACACACACAGACTAAAAGTGAAGGGATGGAAAAAGATATTTCATGCAACTAATAGGGAGAAAAAAGCAGGAGTTCCAGTACTTGTATCAGACTAAATAGAATTCAAAACAAGGAAAGTCACAAAAGACAAACAAGGACATTATGTAATGATAAAGGGGTAAGTCCAACAAGAGGATATAACCATTATAACTATCTATGCACCCAAAACAGGAGCACCTACAAATGTGAAACAAATACTAACAGAATTAAAAGGGGAAATAGAATGCAATGCATTCATTCTAGGAGACTTCAACACTCCACTCACTCTGAAAGGCATATCAACCAAACAGAAAATAAGTAAGGAGACAGAGGCACAGAACAACACATTAGAACAGATGGACCTAACAGACATCTACAGAACTCTATACCCAAAAGCAGCAGAATACACATTCTTCTCAAGTGTACATGAAACATTTTCAAGAACAGATCATATACTAGACTACTAAAAGAGCCTCAGTAAATTCACAAAGATTGAAATTGTACCAACCAGTTTCTCAGACCATGAAGGTATGAAACTAGAAATAAATTATGCAAAGAAAATGAACAAGCCCACAAACACATGGAGGCTTCACAACATGCTTCTAAATAACCAATGGATCAATGACCAAATAAAAACAGAGATCAAGCAATATATGAAGACAAATGACAACGATAATTCAACACTGCAAAATCTATGGGATGTAGCAAAGACCGTGCTAAGAGGAAAGTATATTGCAATATAGGCCTGCCTCAGGAAGAAGAACAATTCCATATGAACACTCTAAACTCACAATTAATGAAACTAGAAAAAGAAGAACAACTGAGGCCCAAAGTCAGTAGAAGGAAGGACATAAGAAAGATTAGAGCAGAACTAAATAAAATCGAGAACAATAAAACAATAGAGAGAATCAATGAAAGCAGGAACTGGTTCTTTGAGTAAAGTAAACAAAACAGATAAACCCCTAGCCAGAGTTATCAAGGAAAAAAAGTCTACACACATAAACAGAATCAGAAGTGAGAAAGGAAAAATCACTATGGACAACACAGAAAAACAAAGAATTATTAGATAATGCTGTGAAAAATTATATGCCAACAAACTGGATAACCTAGAAGAAATGGACAACTTTCTAGAAAAATGCAACCATCCGAGACTGACCCAGAAAGAAACAGAAAATCTGAACAGTCCAACTACCAGCAATGAAATTAAACTGGTAATCAAAATACTACCTAAGAACAAAGTGCCTGGACCAGATGCCTTCACTGCTGAATTTTATCAAATATTTAGTGAAGACCTAATACCCATCCTCATCCTCCTTAAAAGTAGAAAAGGAGGGAATATTTCCAAACTCATTCTATGAGGCCAGCATCACTCTAATACTAAAACTAGGCAAAGACACCACAAAAAAAGAAAATTACAGACTAATATCCCTGATGAACATAGATGCAAAAAAACTCAACAAAATATTAGGAAACTGAATTCAAAAATGCATCAAAAGATCATCCATCATAATCAAGCAGGATTTATTCCAGGGATACAAGGATGGTACAGTATTAGAAAATACATGAACATCATCCACCACGTCAACAAAAAGGACAAAAACCACATAATTATCTCCATAGATGCCAAAAAAGCATTTTACAAAATTCAACATCCATTCATAATAAAAACTCAACAAACTGGGTATAGAGGGCAAGTACCTCAATAATAAAGACCATATATGATAAACCAACTGCCAACATCACACTTAACAGCAAAAAGCTGAAACCCTTTCCTTTCAGATTAGGAACAAGACAAGACTGTCCACTCTCTCCACTTTTATTTAACATAGTTCTGAAGGTCCTAGCCACAACAATCAGACAACACGAAGAAATAGAAGGCATCCAAACTGGTAAAGAAGAAGTTAAACTGTCATGATGTTTGCAGGTGACATGATATTGTACATAAAAAACCCTAAAAAATCCACTCCAAAACTACTAGATCTAATATCTGAATTCAGCAAAGTTGCAGGAATAGACTAGAGAGCCCAGATATAAACCCAAGCATACATGGTCAATTAATATATGATAAAGGAGCCATGTATATACAATGGGGAAATGACAGCCTCTTCAACAACTGGTGTTGGCAAAATTGGACAGCTACATGTAAGAGAATGAAACTGGATTATTGTCTGACCTCATACACAAAAGTAAACTTGAAATGGATCAGAGACCTGAATTTAAGTTATTAAAACATAAAACTCTTAGAAGACAACATAGGCAAAAATCTCCTGTATATAAACATGACACATCTCCTCAGGCAAGGAAAACAAAATCAAAAATGAACAAATGGGACTACATCATGCAAAAAGGCTTCTGTACAACAAAGGACACCATCAGCAGAACAAAAGGCATCCTACAGTACAGGAGAATATATTTGTAAGCCACATATCTGACAAAGAGTTAACATCCAAAATATATAAAAAAACTCACACACCTCAACAACCAAAAAGCA